TGAAGGATGGAAATATAAAGAAAGAGGAGGATGGAGAGGTGGGTGGTAATGGTGGTAGAGATTTTCAAGCTTTCAACAAAAGCCATTCGACTTCGTGTAGTTTCCTTTCAACTCACCTCAGCATCCTGTCGTTGATCGGATTCTGAAAATATACGGTGGCACGAGATAAGTTCGATTAATTTCTCTTACTCGTCGTTATTGAGGTGACTATAAATTTTCTCCCATATTCTTTACCTTTCTTTTCTTTCCCCCTGACCTCCCCCCCAACCTCAACCCCACTCATTTTTCTCATCGATCTTCTTAAAGAGATGAATAAAATAAAAAAGGAAAAAGTAACGAGCACGATTAAATGTGAGACAAATATAAAATTAAATGATATTTAATATTGTTTAATATACTTAACAAACGAAGTAATTATTTATTTAAAAATTATTTAAGATAATTTATCTAATATTATCTAATTTTAATAAATTAATTTGAAATTTATTTAATTTTTAACAAATGCAAAATTAAATGCGAATCAAATATGAAAATAATTAAATATTATTTAATATTGTTCAACATATTTAACAAACAAAATAATATTTATCTAAGAATTATTTAAGATAATTTATCTAATATTATCTAATTTTAATATTTTTTGAAATTTATTTATTTGTACTAAATTTAAATTAAATATTAAAAATTTAATTAGGTAATTTTATTAAATTACCTAATACATTATAAAAATACTACAAATAATTTTAATAAATTACCTAGAAAATTAATATATTAATAATATTAATAAAAATTACCTAAATTACCTAATAATAATTTTTCTAATTAATTTTAATAAATTTATTTCTAATTTATTTTGAAATTTATTTACTTGTAATAAAAATTAAAATTCAATATTAAAAATTTAATTAGGTAATTTTATTAAATTATATAAATAATTTTGATAAAAATTACGTAATTTACCTGATAAAAAATTTACCTAATTAATTTAATGAAAAATAATTTAATTCACTTGAGAATGTAATAGAAAATTTTGTTTGAAACATGTAACATGAACATAAATTAAATCCTAACACAGATGAAATTATTTTCTATTTACAATTAATAAAATACGTAAAATAATGAATGTTATATGTGTAATACAAATAGATAAACTCTAAAAATCAGATAAAATGTCAAAAATAATTTCTTTGTTTTTTTTTTCTTTTTTTTTTTTTTTAAATGATCAATCAAGAAATTGATCTAACGATCGTTAAAGTTTAATAACAAAACAAATTAATTTCATTCTTGTTATATGGTAAGACGGAATAAGGGATAAGCGTTTAGATGTGGTACGAACACGATCGTTCGAATTTAATTAACGAGATTACCGTGAACAACGAGTATTCGTAGGAACGTGGTGTTGGTGTTGGTATTGGTGTTAGTGTTGGTGATAGTGGTGGTTTCATTTAGAATGGATCACTCGATCACGACGAATACGAGATTTTATAACCTCAATTATTTGAAAATTACATAAATACAATTTCTCAACAAAGCCTATTTGTATAAACATATAACTAATCAAATTGACTACTTTAATTATTCGTACGAAAGAAAATCTCTATCGTTTAAACGATTTATTATTATTAACCTCGTAAACTTTCTATAACGAGTTAAAGAACCTACACAACCTTCTATTAACGCTTGACTAAAAGGTTCTAATTGATTTTATGCTTACGCGAACGCGAAACTTGGTGGTGGTAGTGCGTTTGCTTGTTTAACAGGATTTGTCATCGTAACCGCGGAAAAACATAAAATATATCATTTACAATTAATTACATGTATCATCTATATTTTATCATATTATTTCAATCTATTGTAATTTTAATAGACAATCTTATTTACGATGTTTTTACAAAAATCGATTATACGTACAATTAAAACATTATTGTTCATATCAATTATTAAAATAATAATATATAATAAATAACAATTATAATTTAACTAAATTAAAAATATATATTACATATTTAATTACAAAATAAAAATTAATATAATATAGACAATTAATAAATTCAATATAGAAATAGAATGATGTAATTTTGTATAAAACGATACTCGTATCAAAACACAGCCCAAAAATAATATTAGCAAATAATAAGAAAAATAATGTAAAAAATATGATAAGAAAAATATTCGTTCGTGGAATTTGTTTTATATATCTGAAAAATATTTTTGTAAAATAATAATAAAATATAATATATTACAATTATAATTTAACAAAATTAAAAATATATATTACATATTTTAATATTAATTTGTACAATATAAATAAATTAAATAATTACAAAATAAATAAATATAAGATAAGAAAAATATTATTTGTTTTTGAAATTTGTTTTATATATCTACAAAATATTTTGTAAAATGTAACTCAACCAACCCCCACTCCTGGATATCATAGAAATGATTAAGCATACCCCATAAAAAATAATATTAAATAATAAATAAAAAAGAATAAAATAAGATAAGAAAAATATTATTCGTTTGTGAGATTTGTTTTATGTATCTAAAAAAAATTATTTTGTTTAATGTGACTCATCCACCACCACCACCACCACCACCACCTCGCCCCTATCGTAGACGTTTATTTTAGCTTCTTTTTTTTTTTGTTTTTTTTTTCTTTTTTCAAAAATATACATATGAATAAATTTACCTCTAACGTGTACGGAGAAATGGCATTCAGCTTGATTTCCCGCAGCATCGGATGCGATATATCGTACGTTGTGTACACCGGGATACATCAGTTGTCCTGGTTCCTATCATGTAAACGCAAAGCATTAACTTTTCACGTTATCCCGTTGGTGTGCTTTTGGGGTTGCTTTGAAGATTGAAATATTAGGAACCTTTAACGATAACCGCAGAACCACTTCTTCCATTATCAACCCTAGTATACTTCATAATATACTAATTAATTCTCTCTTATCTATCTATCTATCTATCTCTATATATTTAACTTTCATGTTACTTTACCTACATTTTCATTTAATCTACGAAATAAATTATTTATATTTCTTGAAAGAAATAAAAATTAAATAAAAATGAACAAGTGATTCGGCACAAATTTGAGGTTAGAAGTTTAAATGGAATTTGTATTAATCAAAAATTTGTGTTGGTTTTTACAATTCATATTATTAATGTAAATTTAACATAAAACAATTCATTATATGCATTTAATAATACAATTTTTAAATACGATAAATGCATTAACTTTTGGTTTAATCTAATAATTTATAAATTTTACCGTGCAATGTTTAATTTTTAATAACACTCGTTTTTAATATTATATATATATATATATATATGTCAAAGAGGTTTGAATAAATTAATTATTATGGTTTCGGTGGAAGATATTACAAATTAAAATCTTTATTAAAATTAATAGAGTATTTAATATAAAATTTACAATTTAAAAAATGTACGATTAGAGATATATGTACGAGTTAAATGATAATCAATTTAATAATAATATTATTAATTAAAAATTAATATTATAATATAATAATAAAAATTAAAATAATAAAATTAAATAATAATATTATTTGTAATCAGGTTAAATGAATATAATTTAATAAAATAATTTAATAAAATATTAATACAAAAAAAAATTATAAAATAAATTTAATAAAATAATTGAATAAAATAATTAAATAAAATATTAGTAAACAAAAAATTTTAAATAAATTTAATAAAATAATAATACAATAAATTATAAAATACTTTAATAGAAAGTAAATAGAGTGAAATAAACTAGATCTATGACTAATAGTGGCAAAAGTTTTCAACTTGAGGTTTTTCGTTGGACAAAAATAAAAAAATAAAAAAAATAGAAAAAAAAATAGACGAAAAGATGAAGAGAAAAAAAAAAGAACTTTTTACAGGATTTCTTAGTTTTTTATTATTGATATTTCTTGGCAATTTTATTTCTATCTCTTTCTCTCTCCTTCTTTGTTTCTGTCTCACTTAGGGTTCCTTCGAAACTGCTCTTAGAGTAATTAATGAACGAAATTTAGAAGAACGGGGTGAGATAAGCATGAGATTGGTAAGTTCGATCGTTAAGCGAGACTTTTAATAAAGCTCACGTTTTTCAACGAAAAAAAAAAAAAGTTAACAGACAAAAGAGAGGAAAAGGGGAAAAGGGTTGGGTTTAAAGTGGGAGAGAACAGTGTAGAAAAACGAAACCTTTCTTGTTAAGGTTTCGTAAGTAACGCCTTTTAAACGCTCGTCTTCGTAATAAAACTCTGATTGTGAGACAAAAAGTAAAATAGAAGAATAAAAATAAAAAGATGAAACAAAGAAGAAGAAGAAGAAGAAGAAGAAGAATAAGAAAAAGAAGAAGATGATGAGCTTTTCTTGCCGCAAGCTTGCAAACTCTTTTAACAGGAAATAAAAAATATAAAAAAAAAAAAAAATACATTTCTTTCTTTCTTTCTTTCTTGATAAGATACTTTGTTTGTTTTTCATTCTTTTTTTTTAAATTTTTTTTTCTTTTCTTTTACATAATTTTTTACTTCTGATATTAATTTTCTATCTATTTTTATTTAATGGTATTATGAAATAGATTTTTATTATCATATAATTTTTTAATAAAGAAATAATTATACGATAATATCAACATATGGTATTATCTTATTATTTTATTTAATAATAAAATTATTTATTTGTTTAATTTTAATAATGTTTAGTTTTATAAATTTAATAATTTTATATTATAAATTTAAATTTTAATTAATATATACTATTAAATTATAAATATAATATAAATTAAAATTAGAATTATAATATATATTATTAAATGCCAATTTAATTTTAATAATATTTAAT